CCCCCAGGTCCATTTCTAACATGCTTTCCTAGGGAAGAGTGGACGGGATGCAGTGGTGCAATGTCCCCGGAAGCAAACCGAGAGACAGACGGGCTCCCAGGAAGACTGAGAACCAGGAAGCTGGGAGCCTGGGCTGGGTGCAGGGAGGGAGTTGGACTCACGCTACAGAAGGTCCCTGTCAGGAGAGCGGCTAGTCAGCCCTGCCACTCTGGGCACCAGCCTGCGTCTTGTGCTCTGTCATCAGGACAGGCGACTTAGTGCAAAGGGCTTGCCGTGATTTCTGGAGAGGGACTGAGGGCGGGGGGGTGGGGGTGGGGGGGTGGTGGCAGGAGCAGAGGTGGGTCATCGAGGGCTGAAGTGAAGAGCCGACTCGTCCCCCTCTCAGGATCGAGCAGGATCGAGCAAGCTCAAGCACTCCAGGTGTGCACTGGGCCACTGAAAGCAAAGACCAAAAGGAAATGCAATGTCACACGGAAGGGAGTGGACGGACTAGAATTACAGCCACCTTCTAGGTCAGGCAAAGCTATTCCCAAACTTGATTTTCAGGTTTTCATAAACCCAGCTTTTTGAGTCGCAAGCTCACTGCTGTCAGGTCCACGCTGATTCACAAAGGCCCTAGACGACAGGGCAGATCTAGCCCTGTGGGGGGTTTGCGACGCTAACTCTGTACCGGAGTGGAACGTCTCACCTGTCTCCCTCAGCAGAGCCGCCGGGCTTGCGAACGGCCTCCGAGCAGAGAAAGCCCACTCCTCTGGGAGGTGGCAATTCTGCTTTCCCAGGGTCCCGCATTCTGTTGCATCTGGAATCGTCCCATCTCTAGAGTCTTTCGAAACTGGCTCCTCCTCTCCGCTGCCTTGATGGAAGGATGTGTAGGAACAACGTGGAGGCTAGGAGCGGTTCCTACCTGATCCTGTCACGAAGGCCTCCATCCACCTCCCGTCTCAACCCCTCCAGATGCACACAGATCAGCCAAAGCCATGGTCCCTCTAGGCCAGGGGTCCTCACACTTTTTTAACAGGGGGCCAGTTCACTGTCCCTCAGACCTGTTGGAGGGCCGGACTATGATTTTAAATTTATGAAATTTAGACAAGTACTATGAACCAATTCCTATGCACACTGCACATATCTTATTTGGAAGTGAAAAATCAAACGGGGCAAAAACACTCGGTGGGCCGGATAAGTGTCCTCGGCGGGCCACAGGTGGCCCACGGGCCGTAGTTTGAGAACGCCTGCTCTAGGCCACAAACCCCCGTTTGTCCCAAGAGTTCTCCTCCCCACATCAACCTCCTCAAACTTGATGATTGGCCTGCTGTGGGGGGAGGTCAGGTGCGCAGGCACTTCTCCCCCTGAGGGCGATCAGTTGCCAGACTGCACTGGGCCTGCTCCCTGCTGCTGGAGACAATGGACTACTTCTCTCTGGAGCCTAAGGCCATTAGCTTGGTTCCTGTAGGAGGGGGTTACACCCTACTGATAATGGTTCCTATGGAGACCCAGAGACCACCCTCTCATTACTGGGTACCCTATAGTGGAACCCCTCCCTGTGACATATGTCTCTACCTGTAATTAGTGGGCTGCCTTGCCCCCAAAAGGTATATAGGCATGGGTCAGCAATATAGAGCTCGCGGACTCGGACCTCTCTGACTCTCCCCACTCTCCTCTCCAGTCCCCTCTCCCTTGTTCCCTTTCCCTCCTTCCCTTCCCCCTCTCTCCACGTGGACCACTAAGCTGGGCTGAGGTGAGCAATGCTATCATGTAACATGCCTGACTGTATTATTGTATTATCTCTCATGCTCTCGATGACTTTAATATAATACTTATATGTCTCAACCGTACAATTGTGCATTGCCGAGCCCTGAAGTAGTATTACTGAATCCGAGTAGTGGTAATAGGAGTATTAGCGGTGGGGGCTGGTCCCCCACCCTCCATCCACGCCATTTTTAATTTAATACTACAGCCTGCCCTTTGCCCTCTGCTCCCCTCACTCTGCACCCTCTGTGGACCGTCCTGCCTTCCGCTCTCACCAGCATGCCAAAGACCCACTGATCTGACTCGTGTATTCAAGCTCTGGTGGCATAGCGGTCATGCATGGGGCTGCTGCGATCCGCCCAGTGGCATAGCGGTCATGCATGGGACTGCGATCTGCAAGGTCTGTGGTTGCAAACGACCAGCTGCTCCTCAGGTGGTGGTGGGGGGGTGTCGTTCTACTCCTGTAAGCAGAGTCAACCTTGGAAGCTCACGGGGGCATTCTTAGTCTGCCCTTCATGGTCGCTATGAGTCAGCATCCGCCCGATGACAGTGAGTTTGAGTTTGGGTTCGCATACATTCAAGAGAGGGCGTTCCTGTCCTGGTCGATTCAAGCCATGCGTTCTTCGCTCTATAGTATAGAGTATGGTAGAGAGCCCATACCAAACGGGGAGGGTGAAGAAGTGAACAGCAGGCATGGAATCACCACATGCTTAGGGGTCACCCCGCCCTGTGGATGCTGGTAGCTGCTAACCGCAAGGTCCGTAATTCAAAGCCACCCACCCCTCTGATGGACAAAGGTCAGGCGGTCTGGTAACAATGCACAGTTCTGTCTGGGGCCATGGAGCCAGTTCTGACCCAGAGCGACCCTATGTATGCCCAACAGAACGACCCACCGCCCCATCCTCGCCATCGCTCCTGCACTTGATGACCTGGTGGCAGCCACCAGGGCCATCCATCTCCTTGAGGGCCTTCCTCGCCTTCACTGCCCCTCCGCTTGGCCAAGCATGCTGTCCTTCTCCAGGGACTGGCCTCTCCTGACAACAGGTCCAAAGGACTGGAGACAAAGATGCCCCATGCTTGCCTTTAAAGAGCACTCTGGCTGTACTTCTTCCAAGAGAGATTAGTTTGTTCTTTTGGCAGTCCAAGGTATTTTTGACTTCCGTATTTACAGCCCTTCCACCCCTATATTGACTCACTGTAATCCACAATTGACTCTATGATTGCAGGGTTGGTGCTGTTTTGGTTTGGGTGTGTTGTGTGTATGTTGGGGGTGGGGGGCAGGGGGGTGCGACAGCAGATATGTTTCAGAAGCCGAATAAGACGTGCTGTTGCCATCATGGAGTTCATAGGCCGTTGGGCTGGACAGAGAAATCCTCCAAGAACTACTGGTCAGCACCTGAGTGGGGCGGGGTGGGGGCGTGCGGCTCGCTGGGAGAATGGCCGGTAGGCACTATGCAGCCTGGGGAGTCAGGAGAAGGGCCTGCACAGAGACCGCACACAAGCTGGGGTCTCTCTGAAACAGGAAGCCAGCAACGAGTGCTGGTCATGCGTCCTCCCCCTCCAGTGCCCTGGTCACAGCCCAGGGGCTGCAGGAATCCTGGGGGACTGAGACAACGCAGTCAACCCAAAGTGAAAAGTGTCTCACAGATCACCCCTCAGACCTGATCGCCTATGCAATTCCTCACAGTGCCCTTGAGCGTGCAGGCCCAGCCTTGCCTCAGGCCAACGTCACACCCTCAAGCTCATCCTCCCATTCCCACCCCAAGGTACTCTTCGAAAGGTAGCTTCCATCGCTCTGACGGAGGTTTCCTTTAGCGCGGCAGAAAGCCGCTGCAGACTTAGACCTCACTCGCCTTGGGTCCCATTTGTAGGAACTCGACGGGTGAGCCAAAGCGGCATCCCAGCAATCCGCTCTGCATTCTCCGGGACCGGAGAGGAGCACCCCGGCCGCTCACAGACGGAAAGGGGGGGTCGGAGGTCCTGGGGATCTCTAGCGAGGCTCCCAGCAGAGGAACGTGTCCCAAGGTCTCCCACGACGTGAAGAAGTGCTAGAAGATTGTCCTTTCTTCCAGCCCAGGGATCCGACGAAGGAGGATGACCAGGGATGCACCCGCAGCCTCAGAACTACACCTGGAGCTCCGACTTCATGATCCGGGGCTTTGGGGACCTGCCGGAGCTGCAGATCCTCTTCTTCGGCGTGCTCCTCGCCGTGCATCTCATCACCCTCGCGGGGCACGCAGCGATCGTGCTCGTCACGCTCATGGACCCCTGCCTGCAGACGCCCATGTACTTTTTCCTCCGCAACCTGTCCGCCATTGAGATTTGCTACGTGTTGGTCATTGTCCCCAACATGTTGGCTAATTTCCTGTCCAAGAGCCAACGAATGCCCTTCCTGGGCTGTGCCCTGCAAATGCTCCTCTTCATCGCCCTGGGAGGGGCCGAGTGCTTCCTTCTGGCCGCAATGGCCTACGACCGGTTCGTGGCGATCTGCAGCCCCCTGCGCTACACGCTCATCGTCACCAGAGCCCTATGCCTGCAGATGCTGGTGCTGGCGTGTGTCGGAGGCTTCGCGCTCTCGCTCACCCTCACCACCCTGATATTCCTCCTGCCTTTTTGCCAGTCCCACGACATCAATCATTTCTTCTGCGACATCCCCGCCGTATTGTTCCTGGCCTGCTCCGACACTCGAGCCAACGAGATTGCCGTCTTCCTGGTCTGCATGCTCATTCTGTTGATCCCCTTCCTGCTGATTCTGCTCTCCTATGCATTTATCATCGCTGCCATCCTCAGAATCCACTCCGCCGAGGGAAGAAGCAAAGCGTTCTCCACCTGCGCCGGGCACCTACTGGTCTCTCTTATGCACTATGGCTGTGCAATATTCATCTACATTCGCCCCAAGTCTTGCTACACTCCAGAACAGGACAAAATTGTGTCCTTAATCTACACCAACATAACCCCCATGCTCTACCCTATGATCTACACTCTGAGGAACCAGGAAGTCAAGGGCGCCCTCAGGAGACTCCTGCAGAGCAGCCGCCGGATGAAGTGGCAGCGCAACACAAGGTGAAGGGAACCCTGGAGTCCACCAGGACTCACCTGGCCCCCTGGCCAGAAGCCAGGGAGCCACCAAGTTGCCCTGCCTCTTCCTGCAAAGCTGAGCCCTGGTGCTGAGTGGGCCCGGAACCCACGGCCTCGTTGTGGTCAGAGGGCTGGAATGAACGCCAAGCCTTTCCGAGACCATCTGCTACCTGGATCGCCGTCAGCGTCCCTGTCACGGAGAGCCAGCCCCAGCAGCGCCCTCAAGCAGAGCGCCGTCCTTAACACGGCATTCCCGGACCCGCGTTTCCAGGCCAGCTGACTCTTCTTTGTCCTTCCAACCGAGGCTGGAGGGGGGGGGGGCTTGGAGGGCACTTGCTCATGGAAGCCCATGGACGCAGCATCTGCCCCAGCTCCCTTCTCTCCCCCGCTAGCTGGCCTGCAGGCTCCTGGAGGGCGAGCACTGCGATGCGTCTCCGTCGCTGTGACTCCTGGCACACGGTGGGTGCCAACGAGTGCTCATGAGACTGATCGGCGAGCTCTCGTGGACTTGGGCTTTGGAATGTCCCCAGAGGCCACCTGCGCATGGAAGCAACGTCTTCAATATGCTGCCGGGCCGAGGCCCCTCTGGACTCAGGGCTCATGTCGGGGCTGAAAACCCCAAGGCCTTCACGGACCCTGCTCCCAACCCATGGGCTGGGCCCCGTGCCGCCGTGAAGCTCTGCGGTCCCCAAAGTCCCGGCATTTAGCAGAAAGTGCTTTGTTGAACGTGTGCTGGGCTTGACACTGACGTCACACCAGGCCTTAGGAAGCTCTGAAAGCCCCAGACATGGAGGTTTCCAGACTATTGAGAGTGGACATAGATAAACCAAGCAGCCCTGGTGGTGGAGGGGGTTGTGTGCTGGTCGGCCACCACAAGGTCAGCCGTGGGAACCCAGAGGAACCCCTCAGCGGCTCCCAGAGACACGAGGCTTTGCATTCGTGGGAAAATTTGTCCTCCCATGGTGGGGTCGGAGGTGGGGAGGGGTGGCGCGTTCGGGGGGGGACGGGGAGGGGGCAGTGAGGGCAGAAGTCGGTAAAGAGGGTCCTTTTATGACTTTTGATTGAAATGTTGGATTTATTAGTTTTTATGTTAGACAGGGTTCTCTAGAGAAACAAAACCAGGACACTAATAATTTTGTATCTACTTATATAGATAGATAACATAAGAAATAAACAATTAATCTATAAAGCAGTACAAATGGCTCAGTGCAACTCCCTTCCATGAGACAGCTAGTACACCGGCAGTCCTTCAAGTCTTGAGGGCCGCAGGGTCGTCCTCCATGAAGCGATTCCGGCTCTCCAGGCACAGGCAGCAAAGAGCGAGCAGGTCACCAAGAGTCAGCCAGATGACAGGGCCCGACAGTCCCCAGCTCAAGCGATGTCCCCTCCAGTAGCGTGGTGAAGCGGGTCTTGAAGGAACCTCAAACCACAGCGACACAGTCCACGGCTTAGGTGTCCCACAGGTAGGTAGCGTAGCTTGCAAAGGGAGGCAGAGAACCCGCTAAGGCAGCCGCACACTGGTCCGATGCTCAAAGAGCAGGAGACAAGAGAGGCGAGGCTCACCAAGCCATTGGTCTCTCTGCCCTTCAATTAATCCCCCATGTGTCCATTGGCCAGGTTGGCACAATAAGCCTACCTGTCACGGTTTTGATAAATGTATCGTTGTTATGTAAACTTCCAGCTCTAGGAGAGGTTGGCCAAGCCGTTTCCAGGCACTCTCGATGATTTCTGTGATGCTGCTGCCCATTGAAAATCATTTCACAATGAGGATGTCAGGAGGCGCCATCAAGCGGGTCCTCCCCCATCGCAGCCCTGTGCACCATGGAAGGAAGCCCTGCCTGGTCCTGCGCCAGCCTCACCACTGTCCCTGTGCCAGAGCCCATCGTGGCCACCACCCTGTCTGTCAAGACAGAAAGCGGGCAAAGGAACAAATAACTCAACAAGCTATCTGTAGCCATTGGACTCTAGCCGACTCTTTGGAGTCCTGGGAAAGAAGCAGAGCCACGCTCCATTCATTCCCTGACCTGTGACCGCCAGGGTCGTCTTCCTGGTGCCCGAGCCACCCTGGCCGTGCATGAGCAGAGATGCACAGTGATCGGCCTTCCTCTCCCAAGGCTGTCTCCTCTCGCTGTAAGGTACAAGCCTCCCCCTCCCTTCTCCATTTAGCGAGAGACACTGCAGGTAGTAAAGCTCTCTCCTTCCCAGCAGATCCTTCACGGCCACTGCAGCTGCAGGCTGTCACCGCAGTGAGGGTAGCAGACAGTAGAAAACACCGTCCCCGCCCTCCAGGCGCTCACAAATTAGCCAGCGGCACGGGGGGGGGGGGACCATCGCACAAAACCCAAATCTTCTTTCAGGTTTCCCTGTGAGTGAGATGGAGGTCTGCCAGGAGGTACTCAGAAAACAACCCGTGTCCATCCAATGTGCTGCGCGCTATTCATTCGTAGGAAGGGACAACCCCTCCCCCCCACCAACCCTCTTTCTGGGTTGTGTGAGTGTTGCATGGGACAACAGAAAGGAGGTCTAGGTGTTTGAGGGACTCTTTGCTGGGCAAGGAAACTGACCCCTTGACCACCTCCTTCTGGACTCCGTGTTCAGCCAACAAACCATTTCCTTACGATGGAAGCCAAGAGCTGGGGAGCCCTGGGGCAGAGCAGGTCCCCGCTGGGCTGCTACCCACCAGGGCCGCAGTTTGAAATCGCCAGGGGAGAGAGAGGAAGTCTTCAACTCCCGTAGAGAGGGACCAAAGAAAAGTGGGGGGAGGGAGA